GAATTCTTTCTACCGCTCAGCAAAATGCACCTGTGGAAATTTTCTTTCATCAGCAACCTTCTCCCTCACTAACTCCCTATTTTCTATCCCCCATCCGGTTCACCAAATGTGTTTCAAGTTATTTTCCCTAGAAACTTCCGACTCCCTTTGAAAACACTGGATACAATTAGCTGCCAAGAGGGAAGCAGAGAGGGAATGTTTCCCCAGTGCACAGCTAGAAACCAACCCTTCTTACCTTCCTGGGGAAATGCATTTTCATAGTGGAATAGAAATATTTACATTTTTTTTAAATACAATTGAGTGTCATCTAGAATTACTATGTATTCTTCCATAAGCTCTTCTACAGTTCCTCCTTAGACCCAATGCCTGGAATTGAGTGTCTCCTCTTCATCCAGCTTCCTGAGACTAAGCACAATTTACAGCAGGCTACAATCCAGGATTAGTTTCAGGGTCATACTTTTGATGTTGAAAGAGAAGACATAACCTCCTAATATTTGCCATTCATTTGCCATGCCATAAAACGAACATTCAAATATATGACTATTGATCCCCAAAGAGAGTCTTATAGTTATAACATAAAAACAGCTGTTACCTTTTACCTGAAATGGATTATAAACTGGCTTATGAGCATTTGGGCCAGGATTAAGAAAATACTTCACTTTGAAAATTTTCATTTTTTAGCAAATTCAGCAGGATTTCAATGAGAAAATTACTTTTCTTGTTGTATATTTTATCAAGATTTTTAAACTTAATCATTTTATTTAAACTCTAGTATAAGATTTTTAAAATGTTATTTTCAGTGGCAAGGAAGTTTGAGCTGAAGGGGAGGACAACATCTGGGAAAGAAAATACAGCTGGGCGTGGTGCCTGTAGTCCCACCTACTTGGGATGCTGAGGCAGGAGAATCACCTGAACCCAGGAGGTGGAGGTTGCAGTGAGCCGAGAGCAAGCCATTGCACTCCAGCCTGGGTGACACAGCAAGACTCCATCTCAAAAAAAAAAAAAAGAAAAAGAAAAAAGAAAAAAAGAAAAAAAAAGAAAGAAAGAAAAAAGAAAGAAAAAGAAAACACAAATGGGTCTGGGACCTCCTTTGTGTTGGAAGCGGAGGCCCCTCCCCTCCCCGCTATCACACAACCTAGATGGGAGAAGTTAAACAAAATCAACTCAAAAGGCCCTGTATTAAGGAGAAATAATGTTGTGGTGGGGAATGAATTTGGGAGCTTTGGAAATGGGGGGAAAAAACAGCAAGATGGACAAGAAGAGTGTGGGGAAAATGGGGGCAGGTGGGGAGGGACACACAGCCCTGGAAGGGGAGTTCATGAGGGTTTTTCTGTGCTCCAGACATCCAGGAGGAAAAGCCTAATTTTAATTTTAAGTTATTTGTTACCTCCAGTATAACATTTTTCAAGGTGATGAATGGGACACGGGTGGCACAAGGCATTTTCTTTAGGGTGTTAAAGTCATAGCTGAGCTGGCTGGGCACGATGGCTTGTGCCTGTGATCCCAGCACTTTGGGAGACCAAGGTGGACGGATCACCTGAGGTCAGGAGTTTGAGACCAACCTGGTCCACATGGTGAAACCCCATCTCTACTAGAAATACAAAAATGGGTCATTGTGATGGCAACTGCCTGTAGTCCCAGCTACTCGGGACGCTGAGGCAGAAGAATCACTTGAACCCGGAAGGCAGCGGTTGCAGTGAGCGGAAATTGCACCTCTGCACTCCAGCCTGGGCAACAAAGTGAGACTCTGTCTCAAAAAAGAAAAAAAAAAAGTTATAGCTGAGCCCAGAAGGCTGGAAAGTTGAGGATTTCAGATGTAGACACATCTCACACAAGAGTATATTGCAACAATCCACATAAAATGGTAGGCCAAAGATAAAAATATTCCAGATAAAATATTTGAAAATAATTTGTATAATTACTATAAGAAGTTTAATTACTCAAGCAGTTGATTATTTAATCAAGATTTTTAATCTCAACTTTATAAAATGTACAAAAGCGAAGGTATTTTTGAGATGATGAAGTCATAGATACATTATTTATTTTGGATAACTCACTTTCTTAATATAAGTTGAAAAAATTGTTCTCATAACAGCTAGCGCTAAAGTTTCACTTAGGTTGAAACCTTTCTTTACTGTTTTTAGGCCATTGAAAGTGAAGGAGGAGAAGCCCGTAGGGCATAGCCTAAAAGGGCCAGCCTAAAGGAGATAGTTTTAAACTTTTGCACAAAAGAAGTAAAAAGAATGTGGGGGTGGGAATAGCTATGAGAGAGAAAGCGCGAGAGAAGGCAGCCTGCAGGAGATGGAAGGCTGAAACTGAACAAAACTGGGATGTTCATTATCTGTTGCAGAATAACAAATCACTCTAAAATTTAGTGGCTTAAAACAACAAATATTTATCATTTCACAGTTTTTGTGGGTCAGGAATCTGGGCACTGCTCAGCGAGGTGCCTCTGGCCCAAGATCTCGTAAGATTGCAGGCAAGCAGTCAGTTGGGGCTGAGGTTTTTGTTTTTTTGGGTTTTTTTTTTTTTTTTTGAGACGGAGTCTCGCTCAGTCACCCAGGCTGGAGTGAGATCTCGGCTTACTGCAAGCTCCGCCTCCCGGGTTCACGCCATTCTCCTGCCTCAGCCTCCCGAGTAGCTGGGACTACAGGCCTTCGCCACCAGGCCCTGCTAATTTTTGTATTTTTAGTAGAGACGGGGTTTCACTGTGTTGGCCAGGATGGTCTCAATCTCCTGACCTCGTGATCCGCCCACCTCGGCCTCCCAAAGTGTTGGGATTACAGGCGTGAGCCACCGCGCCCGGCCTGGGCTAAGGTTTTACATGAAAACTCAAGACGCTAGATCTGATTCCAGGCTCACTCACATGATGGTTGGCAGGATTTGGTTCCTTGGAGGGGTATTGCAGTGCACTATGTGCCTCTCCATAGAGCAGCTCAAAACATGGCAGCCGAGGCTGGGCACGGTGGCTCCTGCCTGTAATCCCAGCACTTTGGAAAGCAAAGAAGGGCAGATCACTCGAGCTCAGAAGTTTGAGACCAGCCTTGGCAACATGGCAAAACTCTATCTACAAAAATTAGCCAGGTGTCATGGTATGTGCCAGCTACTTGGGAGGCTGAGGCAGGATGATCACTTGAACTCAGGAAGTCGAGGCTGCAATGAGAGTGATCGTGCCACTGCACTCCAGCCTGGGTGACAGAGTGAGACCCTGTCTCAAAAACAAAAGGGCAGCTGGCTTCCTTCAGATGGAGAAAATGAGAGGGCACCTGAGACAGAAGCCACGGTTATTTTGTAACCTAATCTTAAAGGTGACATTTCATCACCTCTGCCCCATCGTGTTTGCTAGACACGAGTTCACAAAACCCAGCTCACACTGAAGGGGAGGGCATTACAAAGGGCATGAACACCACGAGGTAGGGATACAGGTTACAGGGAGCCAATGAGAAGTCCTCAGCAGCACTGGGAGTATTTTAAGAGCAAGAATGTTAAATATTGAACTTTCAGTTTTGGTGTTTTTTTGTTTGTTCGTGTTTGTTTGTTTGTTTGTTTTTATTGAGACAGAGTCTTGCTCTGTTGCCCAAGCCTGAGTGCAGTAGCATGATCTCGGCTCACCGCGACCTCCACCTCCCTGGTTCCAGCGATTCTCCTGCCTCAGCCTCCCAAGAAGCTGGGACTACATGTGCATGTCACCACACCCTGCTAATTATTCTATTTTTAGAAGAGACGGGCTTTCACCATGTTGGCCAGGCTGGCCTCGAACTTGTGACCTTAAGTGATCCACCCACCTTGGCCTCCCAAAGTGCTGGGATTACAGGCGTGAGCCACTGCGCCCAGCCTTTTCAGCCGTTTATAGTGCTGCTTCAGCCTGTTAAGCATCAAAACTGACTCAGTACAACCCATCGCATGGTGGAAGAATGGCTGATCCATAAGAGGTGTGGTAAGGCGGGGTTGGTGGACAAAGAGCTGGAAGTTATCTAGACTTTGACCTTTGGTTGCCTCATTCTTTCATTCCTGTATTCTCTGAGGCCTTTTAGGGCACTCCACTTCAGTGACCAGGACTTGATCAGTTTTGTTAGACCACTTATGCTCTAGAACCTAGCATTGAGAGAAGTTAAAAATATTATTTGTGGTTTTTTTAAAATCTAATATTGTGCATTTTATAGTTTTTAAAAGAATTATAAAAAGTAGATTTTTATACACAAACTGAATAATCAACTTCTAAATAAATTTGCTCCAAAAAGTTACTTAATCCTAACAGAAAAGGAAAACCCCACACATACATACATTTATTTGTGTCTAAACCATATACTCATCTATTTAAGCAAGACTTTTCTTGATTTTGTATTTTAAAAGTTTCCGGATTCTTTATATTTTCTCTGATTTTAAGGGCAAAATTTATGCTAGATTTTAAAGTAGAAACATTCTTCTCATTCCTGCCTTGTTCCATTGATTGATTTTTTTTTTTTTTTTTTATCTCCTAGTGCTTATCATACACGCTTAGAAAACACAGAGTCTCCATCAGCCATCTATCTTGGTTGCTTTATCTGTTGAGTCACAGTCACATTGCCACAGATTCTTGGTAATCTGAAAAATACCGAGATGCTCTTAGATAACTGAAAACCCTGGCCAAGTAGAATTTCCTGCGCTATACCAAACAAGTTACTCTGCAGAAAAGTAACGAGGCTGGAGCCAGTAGTTGACAGTGAGGTTGCCCAATCCCAGTTCCATGGAGAGTGCTGCCCCTGGGGTCTACACAGCACAATGGAAGAAAGGCAAAGAGAATGGCCTGCCCCCCTACCTGGTCCTCAGTGGCCTGAGATTCTGTATAATCTGAAATAAATCTAAATGAATACGAAGTCAGGGTTTCAAATATGTGAACCATGATATGATAGCATGTAACAGAATAGCATATAATAGAGAAAGCACAAAGAGGGAAGGTAAAAGAGCTTCTGCTCCCAGTCTTTAGAGATGAGGATACTCACCCCAAGCTGTGTGCTTACCTTCCTTCAGAGACGATTGTTCATGCTTTCAGCGTTGTTTTGCAGTCTGTAAAGGTACTGTTTTGCCTTTCTCTAGGCCACCTGAACTCGCTTAAGTAATCATACCTCCTCCAAAGCATGGTATTTGAGAACAGACCTGGCCTCTGTTTCAGAAGGCCATAATTGACCGTTTTGTGTAAGCACAAAAGGGGGTGTGGTAGGAGAGCTTTCCCGAGCCTGTGCTATCTCCTGTTGAAGCCCATTTGTTAGCCTCGTAGGCAGGGCGCGCTGGAATGCCTGGCAAGTGCAAGTACAGTGAAATGCCGTCATTGTGCTGCTCTCACGGCGCATGTTTTCCCACGTACAACATTCAAAATGTTCAGTTCCCTGGAAAACGTTCTAAAGAAGTTGCACTGTATTAGGCTTTGCCTTCTCGTCTTTCACAAAGGCAGACAGCCCTCTGTTGAGGACAGCCTTTCCACAGGCATTTCTGTTGGCTCAGAGCCACATGGACGTAACCTAGAGCCACTGAGCCACAAGAAAAGCTTGGACCAGAAGCAGGGGGAGGGGACGCTTCACAGGGTTTTTCCTCCCACATTCAGTATACACAAGGATCCTGAATTGAAAATGCCTATCAATTTGCTTATGATGATATTGTCAAAGAAATTTGTTTACAACGGTAACTAATTTTTTTCTCTCCCCTTCCACTTTTTTTTTTTTTTTTTTTTTTTTTTACGAAAGGGCTGAGTGGAATAAAGTTAGGAAGTCAGTTTTTTTTAATGTACTTTTTTTTTTTTTTTTTAAATCAGTATAAAACATGGGCTTTTAGTTGATGTAATGTAACTTGAATGACTTAAATGTAGATGTCAAATGTTAAGGTTATGTCAGGTACACCTATTATATTTATTAAATATTACCAATTACTGATTTTCACAGAAAGAAAATAAAAGAATTCTCTGACTATTGTAAATTGACAAAAAGATGGTAGGGATTTCTGAGAAAACACTGTCGAGAAAGATAAAGCAAGGTCAGTTTGTGACATTTCAATGGATTCTACCTTCAACACAGATTAGCTTATTATTTTTATTTAAGTAAACAAGAGGTCCAGCTGGACCAAGTAAGCTCTTGTATTTTTCTGTTCTTTCGCTGCACGCAAGTCTAAGAATTGTTTTATTGGCTTCCTAAAAGCGCCACAATAGCTTTGAAAATGGTTGAGAAGATGTAAGGAAGTAGTCTGAAACATATAGATGATATCAAGATTCACAAAGATTGATTAAGGGATAGAATGCAAACCAAGTGTTTTTTAAAAAAATTTTTATCAATACATAATAATAGTATATATTTATGGGGTACTTCTTTTGATATACGCAGACAATGTGTAATGATCAAATCAGGGCATTTAGGATATCCATCACCTCAAACACTTTTCATTTCTTGGAAACATTTCAAAGCTTCTCTTCTAACTATTTTGGCAAACCAAGTGATTTTAAATACAGTCACTTGTTTGATTTCAGCTTAGTATTTCCCATCAACTTTTCTTAACGGTACTTATTAGAATGTTCTGAGTTTTTATGATTCTTCAAGAATATTGATCACCTGTTCTTAATTTTTTATACAAGGTTAAAATCCACTTAAAAATGAATTAAAAGCCATATGATTTTTGTGTCTGTCTGGAAAATAGGGTTCGACTTCCACAGATGTCATAGACAGCTCAAATATATGCTGCATTAATTACATCACTGATACTGTAGCTGTCACAGAAAAGACAGTAAGAAATTTGGTACTGGGGATGTCTTGGTAGGAAATGAGCCTTAAAACTTCTTGATAGATACAAGGCAATCTCTTGATAACATGTCGAGTAACTTAGATGTTACTTTTAAAAATGTGCATTGCTAAAAGGTGCCCCTTAGTGTCAACACATATTCTCTGGTCCTGGGCTGCTCTTTTTGACCCTGCAGGGGAAGCCATGAAAATAAAGTGAATGCTGGCATTAATCAAACCAGTCTTTATTTTGACAGCATTTGGAATTCATTCTTCTCACTGGGTGGTACTGCCACCACTGTATTTTTTTTTTTTTGAAATGTGCTTCCTAATGATTACTGTCAGGCTTGGGAAGTGAACAGGTATGACTCCCTAACTTGAGGACAGGCCTGCTGTATTGAAAGGGAAAAAGAATGGAAAGAGAGGGGTGATAGCATTTTTAATAAATATGTCTGACATTCATGATAGTGTGAGTATAATATAAAAAGAAGGGAGGGGGAAGAAAGGAGGATGGGTTAGGAGTAAGGATCACCATATCCAGTAACAGCCCAGACTCAGAGAGCCTTAAGATTGGATAAATGTAAACAGCATTTTATTGTTTAAAATGTTAAAGATAGCCAGGCATGATGGCTCACACCTGTAATCCCAGCACTTTATGAGGCTGAAGCAGGAGGATTGCTTGAACCCAGGAGTTTGAGACCAGCCTGGGCAACATGGCTAAACCCCATCTCTATAAAACATAAAAAATTAGCCATGGTGTGTGCCTGTAGTCACAAGCTACCCAGGAGACTGAGGTGAGTGGATCGCTTGAGCCCAGGAGTTCGAGGCTGCGGTGAGTTATGATTATACCACTACATGCTAGCCTGGGTGACAGAGCAAGAACTCATCTCTCTAAAAAAAAGAAAATTAATTATTAAAAAAATCTTGGCCGGGCGCCATGGCTCACACCTGTAATTCCAGCATTTTGGGAGGCCGAGGCACGTGGATGACCAGGTCAGGAGATCGAGACCATCCTGGCCAACATGGGGAAACCCCGTCTCTACTAAAAATACAAAAATTGGCTGGGCATGGTGGCAGGTGCCTGTAGTCTCAGCTACTCGGGAGGCTGAGGCAGGAGAATCGCTTGAACCAGGAGGCAGAGGTTGCAGTGAGCCAAGATCTCGCCACTGCACTCCAGCCTGGGCGACAGCGAAAGACTCTGTCTCAAAAAAAAAAAAAAAAATTTAAAGATGTTTCCAAAAAAGTGCTATTCTTTGCATTTTCTTACAGAAACATAAAAGCAAAGTGACTGTATAACAGAGTAACTGGAGTTTTGGTAAATGTGGTTTGAATTATGGTTGGATGAATGCAAAGTGATACGTTTTCTGGAAAAGGTATCTAGCACATAGCTTTTTTATTGCTTGAAACTGTTTAAGATTTGACATGGGCTTTTGGGGGGAGCTTCGTCCTTCCTGAAAATCTAATACCACTAGCCTGTAAACTGCTCAGAAGAAATGATTACACCCCCCATTTCCCTTGCCTCTCCCCACAGTGCCTGGTACTTCATACACAATAGAAACTAAGAAATATTATGTCGGAATTACTAAAGTGTCACATTCAAAGCACTTTCATTACCAAATGCAAAGCAGAGACCATTTATACTATGGTTATTTCCAAAATCTCTTGCTGCTAATTAATGAACTCTTATCTGGTCATGAGATGTAACATCTACTTAGAACGATGGAAATAGAATTTCTTTCTTTCATTCTTTTGTCATTCTCATTCTACCATTCATTTCTTTCTTTAATAGCAAAAACATTTGCTTTTTATTTATTACTCAGGTTTTTGTTCCTAGCATAGTGAAACTGTCTGCAATGTCAGAAGAGATGTGTTAAGCTCTGGTACCCAGCTGCATGCTGAAATATACTAAATGACTGGCATTCTTATCGCAGTTTCTGTGGCCTATTACTCTTTGTTTCATTACAATTTAATATTTACTAAGAGTGCTGTCAGCTCTGTGCTTTCATTTCCTCTCCGTGGCAGGCGTCTCCCCCTCCTTCCTTGCTCTTCCTTGCCCTGCCCCCACACCCTCCAGCTACCTACTATCAAGCTCACCACAATTCTGGATGCTAAAAAAAAACAAAAACAAAAACCAAGTTTCCCTTGCCATCTTTCATTTGCAAAACTCCCCCCTGAAGGTGCAAATGATTCAGATGGAGGGAAGTAGACAAAAGAGATGAGGACTCTAGGCCAAGTACACAGAGCTAAAGCAGACGTCTCACACTGACGGCCAGTGTACCTAGTTCACACAATGTTTTGATTTCTTTTTTTTCCAGATGAACCAACATCGAAATATCAGACCTTGTGTGCAAATAGAAATGTCTGAATTCTCTTAAAAAATTGGAAGACCTGGACCTACATTCCTGCATGGTAATAGTCAGCTACAGCAGAGTGTCCCATGCTCCATGAGTTAAGTAGACCCTGAAAAAATAAAAAAAACAACCAACACAATCCCTGCACACGGTAAAACATTTATCTGCTCAGATGCCACAAACTCTGCAACTAGCTAGTTGTGCAGGGTAAAGCTGACTGAAACAGTGAGAAGTTTTGTGGTTGGAACTTGGCTCCCCTGAGGCTCCATCTTCTCTTCCGTAGATGGAGTAGTGATGCTGCTATCTGTCCTCATGGGATTATCTCAAGACTATTATTATTATTATTATTATTTTTTGAGGCGGAGTTTTGCTGCTTGTTGTCTAGGCTGGAGTGTTAGTGGCGCCATCTCAGGCTCACTGCAACCTCTGCCTCCCAGGTTCAAGGCAATTCTCCTGCCTCAGCCTTCCCAAGTAGCTGGAATTACGATGTGCCACCACCAACACCCGGCTAATTCTTCGGTATTTGTTAATAGAGACGGGGTTTCTCCATGTTTGCAGGCTGGTCTTGAACCCCGACCTCAGGTGGATTCCGGGCCGCCTCGAGCCCCTCCCAAAGTGCTGGGATTACAGCGCTGTGCAGCCACTGCCGCGCTTGGGCCGACTTATTAATTTTTAAAATAGATTTGGAGCTGACGGAATATCGGAGTACATAGCTAAATTGCATGGGCCGCTAGTTTTTGCGGTGGTTCATTTCTTGTTGGGTTAAATGATGCGTATGCTACTCGAGTGGTCCCGCCTGTGTTGAAAAAGTGTGACAGAGCAACATGAGCCTTAATGATAGAGGACGAATGCAATAATAACAGCTAGGAGAATACAAGGATGCTGTGGGGCGTAGGCGGGCCTAGCCGAATTGAACCGCCCACACCGTCACATTCTTGGTGGCTTCCCCCTAGCCACACCTGCGCTTATTTTAGGTCTCTTCCAGGATCTGTTTGGCTGGCTCCTGAAACGCGAAGTGGGTGGGTTCCTGAGTTCCGCCGCGGTGTCCGACTGCCCCAGTAGTAAAGGAGTGCGCCGCCGAGAGTAGTGTACCGACTGCTACCCCATTTCTGAGGAGCCGCCAAACAGAGGCTGGAATGCC